CTCCTTCGGGGAAACAGCTGCCCGGGACCGGAGCTCGGAGCAGCGCCCGGCGGGCCGCGCGGACGCGGCGGGGGCGCGGGGGGCGCGGGGGGCGCGGGGGGCGCGGGGCGGGGGCAGCTCGTCTGCATATGCATGAGGCAGGCGCCCGGCACGGCCCCCTCGGCCGGCAGCTGCTCGGGCGGGAGCGCGGGAGGGTGGGGAGGACGCGGATCGGCCGCGGGTCCCCCGGACGGAAGCGGCGATTTGCATGGCGCCCGCTGATTGGATGGCGGCCGGAGGCCGGGTCTGAGACGCGGCTGCTGATTGGCTTAACGGAGGAAATGATAGGATTCCTGTGGCTGAAGCCGGCCCGGGAGGCGCAACCCGAAGCCTGGCCGCGAGGGGGCGCGATGGCCCATCTTTGTTCCCGTTAGAGGCGCCTGCGCTCCCCTCCCCCGCTCCGGCCCTGCCCCCACCCCCCGCACCCAGACACACGCAGAAAGTGCGGAGAGACCCTGTGATCCAGGCAACTGGCTCTGCCCCGTCTATTAAGAAAGATGAACACTCCTTTCTCTTCCATCTCCTTCATGGGAGACCACTTTTCATTTCAGATGATCACATCAATAAATATTCTTCCGGGAATAAAAAAGGCACTTTGCCAAAAGATAAGAGAATATATGTGAAACGTGCGGATTACGGAGAAAGACAATGCGCGTAGGCAGGGGGATAGGCGCACGTATGTGGATGGGCGCAGGGTCACCCCGAGAACCCCAGGGCGGTGGGGGCGGGGCCCGGCCACGCGGGACACCCGGGGGGAGCGCGCATCGCTCGCAAGGTGCCCGCGGGCCCTACACGCTCGGCCACACGCTGGGGCACACGCCCACTGCCCGCACACCACCACCACCACCACCGCCACCACCCTGCACGCATGCACCCCCCCCCCCCCCGAAAAGCCATCGAAGTAAATGCACACGCTTGGGAAAGACTGCCGAGAAAAGATGGGAGAAGAATTTAAAAGGCTCATCCCCTCCCCCTCCAAAAAATATTCAAGCAGGATGATTCTATTTGCATAACACTAATACACGCAGGACGGCGACAGGGGCAAAAAAAAAAAGGCTCCATTTGAGGCACACACCAGATAATGCGTGTATACACACACACACGGACACGCACGCGCGACTGGGGGCGGGACACACCCGCAGCCTGTGTCCTCCGCCCACGGGCACAGGCAGAGGACAGATGCCATCAGCTGCCATCAGTACAGTTTTCCAGAAAACACTATCGTGAGAAAAACGTAAACTCCCCCCCCCCAGCTAAACCACAGAAGAACCGCTAGTGAACCCAGGTTCTCTACACACACACACATACACACACACACACACACACGTGCACGCGCGCGCGCACACGCCTGCCAGACAGGTTCAAAGAAATAATGGATGCACAATAGATAACTGAGAGCTAGAGTATGTCATCAGCTTAAACAATACTTGGAAATTACTTCAGCCTGGAGATGGCTTTCTGGGATGCTCCTGGGGGAAAAAAAATCGTACCTAAGAAAAAAATAAACATTTTCATTTATTCTGCTTTTCTTTTTTCTTTTTTCTTTTCCTTCGTATTTTTTTTTTTTTAAGACAGGAAGGAGGGCGAATTCCCCTTCCCCAAAGGAGGGTAGTAGCCCTGTTGTTGTTTGGGGAGTTCCAGAGCTTTCCAGTTGACTTCCCTGGGAGGAAGGTGCTGGGAGAGGTCTCTCCCCGCAGCCTCCCAGCCAGACGGCACCACAAAAGGCATTATTACACATTCCAAATAACAAGGGCTGTCTATATATTTACAAATCTGTTCAAATATTTAACCTCTTAACTTGCTAAATATCCCCCTCTTCTCCCTTCCTTTCTCCCCTGCGCTCTCCCCTGTCCCCTTCTCTGCCCTCTCTCCTCCTTTTCCCTTCTCCTCCTGGAAGGGGCGGGGGCGAGAAGCGCCCTTCTGGCCTCCAGAACCGGGCCAGGGGCGCTGGGCTTTCCCTGACCCTATTCGAACCTCAATTTCGTTTCAGCCAATTGCTTCCTTGGCAGCCAAAAAAATCGGTTTGGGACCCCCAGGGCTACCTTTTTGAAAGGAGAAACTTTGATGTTGCCTCTTAGTTTTCAAACTGCCGTCCCGAAAGGCACCTCCTGGGTGGGAGGGATTTTCCTGACCCTTTGGAGGGGCCCGTGCCCCCCACACCGTGATGTTTTCCCCTGCGTTGCACCTTCAGGACTAGGAGAGGGGCAGCTGCACAAGTGAGGCAGCCGGGGAGTGTCCGCAGCATTGGGGGGGACCCAGCCAAGGCCGGAGGTGAGGCGCACGCCTCCTGCAGCAACCAGTTTGGCCACCGTTGAATACTGCTCAGTGCCCAAACCTTTCTTCCTCGGGCTACTCCAGTCATCCTGAGGGCCAGCGGAAACCGTGCAGCTGGCTAGCAGTGGGCCTTTGATGCAGCAGAAGTGCCGCATTCGTCCAAAAGTGACGTGCACTCCCTTTGACGCCTAACGGGACAAGACAGGCGGTGGGTGGGTGCTGCGGGGCCCAGCAGGTGAGCCTCCGCGGGGACCGGCGCCGCCCACCCCGTACTCCCCGGCGGGGCCCCCGCCTGCACCTCACCTCCAAGGACCCACAAGCACCCTGACCCTGGGCCGGCCCGGCCTCACCCGGGACTGGGCTGAGACACAACCCAAGGTGCCCTGAAGGCGCTTCCCGAGCCATCCTGGGCTCTTCCTTTTTCGGGAAGAATTGCAAGGCGACTCCGAACAGGACCCTTCCCCTTGTCACGTCTCCTCCGGCCTTAAATAAGAACTTTAGTGGCGCCTGGGTGGCTCAGCGGTTTGGCGCCTGCCTCCGGCCCAGGGCGTGATCCTGGAGACCCGGGATCGAGTCCCATGTAGGCTTCCCTGCATGGAGCCTGCTTCTCTCTCTCTCTCTCTGCCTCTCTCTCTCTTTCATGAATAAATGAATAAAATCTTTTTTAAAAAAATGAGAACTTTAGTCCCCTATGTGTCTGTCTGGGGGTCGTGCCAACCCAACAGTGAGGCCGCAGGGTGGCACAATGATGCGCGGCGTGTCTGCGTGTCTCATTTGTTCAGTTGACCATAATCATCTCAACTTCCACCCCCTTCAGATGTCTGCTCTTCTCGGGGGCGATCTACCCACCGCCCCCCACCCTCAGAGCACTTTAGAGAAGCCCAGCCCTCACCTCCCACCGCGGCCCTCGACGCACCCCACTTGGGGCTCCACCTGTCAGCGTCGGGGGGCTCGTCGCCTCCGGGGGCCCGGCGGGCCCAACCCTCCCGGGGCGGCCTTGCTGCAGCTGTCGGGGCTGGCGCGGCGCGCGGGGGGCGCCCAGGGCCACCCAGGCCCCCGGCAGGCCGCGCACGGGGCGCAGCAGCTGGCTTACGTCGCCAAAGGGGCTTCCTAAAAACTTTTACATGCATCAAAGAAGGGAAGGAAGACTAAGTGAGTTAAAAAGAAAGAAAGAAAGAAAGAAAGAAAGAAAGAAAGAAAGAAAGAAAGAAAGAAAGAAAGAAAGAAAGAAAGAAAGAAAGAAAGAAGAAAGAAAGAAAAGAAGAAAGAAAGAAAGAAAAGAAAAAAGAAAAGAAAGAAAGAAAAGAAAAGAAAAGAAAAGAAAGAAAGGAAAGAAAGGGAAAAAAAGAAGAAAAAGTATGTTTACTCTCCGCGCCCCGCCAGCCCCGGAGGGCAGCGCTGGCCCTGGAGGGTGGCGCGCGCGCTCGGCAAAACGCCGTCTATTTATTTGCAGACCGTGCGGTGGTCAGGACCTTTCTCTTCTATTGCACAAAACCCCTCAGGAAAACTGCGGGGCAGTTTAAGAGTTTTCTAGCTCTTCCAGATCGGAAAAGATACTCATCCGGAGACATTATCTAAATTTGCGAAAGAATGAAGGCTGCTTGTCATGCGTCCTTCGTCTCCAGTAATATGTGCCACCCAATTAGAAGCAATTTAAGCAATCAAGGCCGTTATGAGAGAAGGGGGGTGTTAAAAATAGGTTTTCTATAGCCTCAGAACTCTAATTCGGAAGAAAATCTAAAATTACTTATGTATCATTTCTTTATATAAAATAAATATATGATCCAAGTGTCTCCTGTTCGCTCTTCTTCTTTTTTTTTTTTTTTTTCTTTTTTTCCCCTCCATGGTCCCTCCCCCATCGCCTGCTTTCCTTTTGGGAATTTAGAACAGAAGTGAGATGTAAAGCTCCGGCAAAGCAAAGACGTGAGAGGGTCCCTAAAAAGTCTTTGAGACCAACGCGAGGACCCGGGTGGGGCTTGGCCCAGCTCTTCCCGGGCTTCTCGGCTCGAGCGTGCAGCCCGCGCCCCTGGCGGGGGGCGCAGTTTGGTTCTATCCGTGGAGCGCGGGAAAATCTCAAAAGTGACGCCCAGGTGTGGAAGGACCCGGCTCCTGGAGTCGAGCTGGAGCTGTTGACCTCTCCGGCTCCCGGGAAGGGGGAGCGGTCAAGGAAGGCGGACTAAGGCGGGAGGCTGTGGTCAGTGCGGGGGAAGCTGGGGGGGGGGGCGGTGGCTGCCAACACAGACGTTCACCTTGGAGCTTAGGGACGCAGCAAAAGGGCGGAGAGTGTGCTTGGGGGGACAGAGGTCAACCAAAGCAGGTGCGTGCTTCCAACCAGAACGGGGGAAAGTAGAAACAAACAAACAAACAAAAAACCCTAAAGCAAAACAAAGAAATAGACCCCAAGCAATGTCCTCTGGCAGAAGCTAGAATGCAAAAATTGGAGGGTGTCACTTCTCCCCCATTTCTTGCGTCCCCGCTGGGCAAGCGCCAGCGGAGGGTGGGGGCTGGACTAGGCTCCCGAGCATCTTCTCCCCGCACCCCACCCCCCACCCACTAACGGAGCTTGCCCTTGCAGCACTGCAATTTGAGAAACAATTTTATCCTCTCCAGCTCCCCTCAGAGAGCCAAAGAGAGCCGGCCCGGAAATAGACACAAGTAAAGTTGGCAGAACTTTCAGGAAGCGAAAGGCCAGTGCCTCTGCTTCCTACAGACGCCGGGTCCAGAGCCTTTGATCCCTTTGGCCAGGAAGGCCACGGTTCTCTGGAAGGTGAGTTGGGCTCAAAGCCAGCTTGAACCCTGAAACCCCTGGCCGGCCCGGGAGAGCGGGGAGGGGTCTGCCCTGAAGCAGCTCTGGGCTCAGAGTGGCAGGGGCACACCAGGCCGCAGGAAGCCGCCTCTGCCTCCCCGGACAAACAGCAGCTGGCTCCGGGGGGCTGACAGCCTCCAGAGTGGGAATTAATCACCTGGCAGTAACCCCCTTCAGAACCCAGTCTTCTGGAAGGAGCTTACGGTCAAAACAATATCCCTTCTCCAAAGCCTCCAAGGCTGGAGGATGAGTACAGAAGTGGGGACAGTGCTTTCAGACCTCCGGTTGTTCACAGACAATAGCTGTTCCAGAGGAGGCAGCAATGCCTCAACAGGACAAGCTGAGGGTCAACGTCTGGGTGTCTCAGAATGTGAGCCCCAATCCAACTCATGCAAGGAAGGCGGATGCCAGGGCCCCTCTCCATCCTCCCACTGATTCTTTGCAGAAGGTTCTCACACACAGCCCGGATAAGATTGCAAGGTTAAAATCCTTCCTAATAGCACTTAATTTATTGCCTATTTGTTCTGCTTGTTTATATCTGATTCATGAACTGAAACCATTTGAGTTTTTAACAAATTGATCCATTTCACAATTCCAAAAGTATTTATTTTCAAATAATCTTCCCTGGAAAATAGTGTTGAAATTTCTTGAATTTAAAGCTTCATGAAAGCTTTCGTGAAAACTTCATGAAAATTAATTGCCTCCAAAATTCTTTGAAGAAAAAATACTGTATTTTTACACACCTGAGTTAGAAATAGGTGACATTTTAAAAATGGATAAATAATAAAAATATTTATCCTAATGAGGTTTTGATTTAATAAATACAGATGTAAGCATTTCTGAATTTAATTCCTCCTTTTGCTACATAATGCCCTAATATACTGGGGTAGAAATCAGAATAGGTATTATTCACAAACAACAGTGCCTTCTTAAAAGTTAAATTTGTCCTTTAAATCTACTCTTTTCATATAGGAGTTTGAAAGTTTAGCACACACATGTATACCCACAGAACATAAAATAGCCTTTTTCTCCGTCACAAGCTAGTGGGTGAACATGAAGTCTTTTCTCCTTATTGGGTCTCAGCTTTGTTCATTTTGGAGACTGAATAATCTACAGTTCAAAAATTATAGTTTAAAAAAATTATAGTTTTTAAAAATATTTTACTTCAATGTACTGTGCAATTACATAAAGACAATGTTAATAAACATTTTCCTGGCTATTTTATACAATCAGTTTGTATTTTAACTGTCTGTATAATACTCTGTTTTAACTGTCTGGTAGGACTGACTAACCTGATCCATTGCCCCATAACAGTCTAAGGGAATACAGGAGGGATTATAAAGAATTGTGTACCTTGATGCATATACCCACTTTTCTATAAATGAGGTCCTATCTCACTAGATTCCCGAAGAGACTCCTGATTCAGGAAAGTTTAAGAACCAGTGATCTATACTGGAAGCATTTGTAGGCAAAAACACAATAAATCCAGCAATCATTTCATTTGCATTCCTTTGCATGGATGAGAGGATTAATTCTTAAAGTAATTTACAGGAACCAAATGTTTTGTGACCCTCTACTGTAGCACTCCATCTAGTTGGAGAAAATGAAGATCTCAGGAATAGTGTTATCAGTAAGATTTTTATAGACCCTAAAAAAGAGCTTAAATTTTTCCCTCCACCTATAACTGAAGGTTGTGAATTAATACCTTTGACAATTTTATGACTTTCTCTGGAAGCCAGCTAGCTTATTTCAGTGATTATAAGAATCAAGAACTACGTGGAGGAGCACCTAGCTGGCTCAGTTGGAGGAGCATGAGATTCTTGATCTCAGGGTCATGAGTTTGAGCCTCACATTGGGTGTGGAGATAACTAAAAATAAATAAATAAACTTCAAGAAAAAGAAATATGTGGAGAATATGCTCTCTGACATGGTCCCTGAAGTTGTCTTTTTCTCCAGTAATAATCTTTTCTCAGTTCTCTTCCTCTTCTCCTCGCAGTCCCTGTTCTATTCCCAATACCCAGTCTTCCACCTTGGCCCATTCTTCCAGGCTGACCTGAGCTTATTTAGTCTGAACAACATTTTCAGGAATCAGCAGCAGCAGATTACAATGAACAATTTTTTTTCAATTTGGCCCAAGTCTATGAAATTAATTTCCATTTTGACAATCACGAGACTTCCCTTGGAAATATCAGTGACTGCACAAGCCATAGACAGATCAAGTGTAGGTGCTCAATCATCTGAATGGGGTTGGGTTATGTTTTCAATTGGAACAAGGTATTAAGTGATTAAACTGTGCCAGCAGACATAACACTTTTATCAAGCCCTTTTCTATCCAAGCAGGCACAAGGATAGTCAATCCCTGGTTCTGAAAGTCTCTAAGGAAAACTTGGAATGCTTTAAGAAACCATGTTTGCAATTAAAGCACTGGCATTTTTCTTTCCATCACAGAATAAAGGCTGAATACCATTTTAGAAACTTTACCTTTCTTTTTATTTCAATAAGCTGCTTAAGATCCTCTTGCATTCATTGACAGGATTTTTGGCCCCATTCTGCTGCACTAGTTCACAACCATTTAATTATTAAATGTTAACAGATTACAAGTGACTTAACAGAGGCACATTCAGAATTCCAGATACCATTATCTTAATTCCTACCACAGTTAGCATTCATACAATACAGAAGATCAAATACCAATTTGGGCACCATATTTTGCCTGCCTTTTTGTAGATAGAGTTAGAACACTGGTATGTCTTTACTTTATTTCTCTCAGCATACCTGGCGCATCTGTGGGAGAAGGAGTTAATTAATAAATGAATGAATGGATATGCAGAGTGCTCAGTGTCTATTTGACTATTTGAATCATGGGAAAAATGGCAGCTTTTTAGTAATTCCTAGAATACTTCCTATAAGTGCTCCTAAATGAAAAATCTGAAATGAACACAATAAAAAATACTAAATACATATCATAAATCGGAAAGAAAATTAAGCAGTCCGTTATCACAAACTTATTTTTTAAAAGTCTTCCAACTGATGAAAATGGAAGAAGTAAAAATGAAACTTCCTTGGGAAGGCCAAGAGATTATTGGGTCAGGCATTGTTCTTAGTGTTTTACGTGGATTATCCCATTCAGTATCCCAGGAAAACCCACTGAGACATGGACTATTATGACCAGCTTACAGGTGAAGAGATCAAGGCAAGAGATGACTCACTGCTCAGCATCATATGATATGGTTGACCCAAGTTTCAAATGGAGGCAGTCAAGTTCTAGACAGAGTTCTTAGCCATTTGGGTGATACTTCAAACAAAACAGTGTTAAATTGGTGGTCACATAATTTGTTGAGAGAAGATAAGAATGTGGGAATTAAAATAATATTCAGAAAATAGCAGGTTCTTCAAAGAATCCAAAGATTATATTCATATTGCTAATGATGAATAAATAAATAGGCAGCATAGTGTGAACTGTAGAGTCAGTTGAGTTGGGTTCAGATCTCTAAATCCTCACTTTTTGGCTGTGAGACCTTGGACCAATTACCTAACCTCTCCGAGCCTCAATTCTTCAACTGTAAATTAGCAATAAAAATACTAACCTTATGGAATTGTGATGATTAAATATAATGGAAACAAAGTACTTTCTATAAAGTAAGTATATAGTAAATATCAGTTATTGTGGGTGACATCGATTATAAGATTGAATTATAGCCTAATCGCAGCATTGACTCTATTTTGAAAATTGAAATGTCGATTTTCAGTTGTTAGGCTCCTCTAGCTACTTCCACAACATCCCCACTGTTTTTCCCAATATGTTATCTACAGAGAGTGTTTCTGTCACACTTAATATAAAACCAAAGTTATGTTCTTTATATTTCAGAGATAAACTCACAGTCTCCCTGCCCCCATCAGAAATACTGTCTTGGAAATGTTAAAAAGATCTAATTTGGAGAAGGCCTAGAATATGAGGAAGATGTGTGCAAGGGCATGAGGAAACTTAAAATGAAGGGACAGACTTTTTAATCTGGTCACTCATCTCCCTAAAAGAAGAGCTTTTCCTGCTCATAATATATATTTTTAAATTATATGTCAATTATATCTATTTAATTGTATACTCTTAAAAAAGATTTTATTTATTTATTTGAAAGAGACAGAGATAGCAACAGAGAGCACAACTGGGGAGGAGAGGGAGAAACAGGCATCCTAGTGAGCAGGGAGCCTGACATAGGGCTCAATCCCAGGACCCTGAGATCATGACATGAGCCTAAGGCAGATGCTTAGCTGACTGAGTCACCCTGGTGCCCCTATACACTTATTTTTTTTTAAAGATTTTATTTATTTATTCATGATAGTCACAGAGAGAGAGAGAGAGGCAGAGACACAGGCAGAGGGAGAAGCAGGCTCCATGCAGGGAGCCCGACGTGGGATTCGATCCCGGGTCTCCAGGATCGTGCCCCGGGCCAAAGGCAGGCACTAAACCGCTGCGCCACCCAGGGATCCCTATACACTTATTTTTAAAATTTTTTTATTGAGGTAAAAGATATATATGTTGTAAAAAAATAACAGGTTGACTTATGATGAAAAGGACACTGTCCTGCCCTTTCTTCATTTTCATTATAGTCCTTCATAATCATTTTAAATGTTTTCAATTGTTTCTGATTTTTTCTTTTTTTAAAAGATTTTATTTATTTATTCGTGAGAGGTACAGAGAGAGAGGCAGAGGCATAGGCAGAGGGAGAGAAGGGTCCCTGGGGGGAGCCTGATGCAGAACTCAATCCCAGGACCCCAGGATCACAACCTGAGACAAAGGCAGACACTCAAACACTGAGGCACCCCCAGGTGCCCCTGATTTCCTTTTTTTTCTGGTGATTACTATCATATTGCTAAATATTATGTTTATACATTTTTGTTGTTGTTGTTAATTTGGGACATTGTCGTAAACTTCCTGCCATGGGAAATGCAGATATGGGTTACCTGTACCACTTCCCATACATTTTCCCAATTATAGTTTCCTCACCACTTTCTACTTTACACTGTTTATCTTTTCAACTTTTTTTTTATTTCTTTATTTGACAAAGAGAGGGAGAGAACACAAGCAGGGGAAGAGGCAGTTGGAGGCAGAGGGAAAAGCAGTCTCTCTGCTGAGCAAGGAGCCTGATGCAGGACTGGATCCCAGGTCTCTGGGGTCATGACAGTAGCTGAAAGCAGCTTAACAGACTGGACCACCCAGGTGCCCCCTTTTTAATTTTAAATAATACATTTTACATGTATTTCTTTTTTCTTTTCTTTTTTTTTATTTATGATAGGCACACAGAGACAGAGAGAGAGAGAGGCAGAGACACAGGCAGAGGGAGAAGCAGGCTCCATGCACCGGGAGCCCGACGTGGGATTCAATCCCGGGTCTCCAGTATCGCGCCCTGGGCCAAAGGCAGGCGCCAAACCGCTGCGCCACCCAGGGATCCCTACATGTATTTCTTGATGCAACAATCTCAGGTAATATCCTTTGATGTCTTTAGCTCTCTTCCCAGCTCTCACCACCCAAATAGTATTTTTTGTATTTTAGCTCATCCTTTGATGTCTTTAGCTCTCTTCCCATCTCTCACCACCCAAATAGTATTTTTTGTATTTTATTATCTTAGCTAATTTGATGACATTACATTCTACTTTTTAAATTCATAAAATTAAGTTTATGTATGCTTTTATAAGTTAAATATAAAGTTGAAAATCAATTTTACAACTGTGACAGTGTAATTATTATTTATTGTCCAACTGTAATATTTTCTCTTGTACGCTCTTTTTGTTTTTCCTGGAGTTTCCTTTTGCCTTTTTTTCTTAGATATTCTTTGTTGCCTCCATAAGTTTTGATAGGATCAAACCTCTGAAATCTATCTCAAACCTCCCTGTATGAGGTTTCTTTTCTTCTCCTCCAATCTTGACATATTTCTCTCTAAGCTGTCTCTACAACTGTTAGGCTGAGACATCCCTTCATTACTTTCTTGGGTCATAGCCAATATTTTCTACATTGGATCTCTCTCTCTCTCTCTCTCTCTCTCTCTCTCTGTCTTTTACGATTTATTTATTTGAGAGAGAAAGAGAATGAGAGAAAGTGCAAGCCTACACAAGGTGTGGGGGGAGACAGAATGTTAAGCAGACACCCCACTGAGTAAGGATCACAATACAGGGCTCCATCTCACAACCCTGAGATCATGACCTGAGCCAAAATCAAGAGCTGGATGCTTGACTGACTGAGCCACCCAGGTGCCCCTCAAGTCTTTTTCTTGGGGGAGAGGGGGTAAAGAATTCTAGGTTTAAAATATTTTCCTTCAGAAAATTTAAGATACTGATCCATTCTCTTTTGCTATGGCTGATGTGAAGATCAACTGAATCAGATTCCTTTTCTGTTGTAAATGTTTAGGCACTCCTACTCCCAGGAAACTTCGTCTTCTCTTTATCCTTAGTGTTCTGTACAATTTAAATAATGTATTGAATATAGTCTGCATTTATTCACTGTTCTGAGCACTGAATGGATACCTTCAATCTAATTACTCACGGTCTTCAACTCTAGTTTCTTTCTTTAGTTGTCTTTTTCTGTTTTTAGAATTCCTATTAGCTTTTAAGACTAATTCTTTCTTGTATGTCCATTATATTTTCCATTTACTTTTCTACTTGTTTCACTGGTTTTGAAATTTAATTTTATTCATTCAATTATATTTTTTAGTTTGATAATCATTTTTATTATTTTTTAAAAAGATTTTATTTATTCATGAGAGACACACAGAGGGAGGTGGAGACATAGACAGAGGGAGAAGCAGGCTCCCTGTGGGGAGCCTGATGCAACACTCGATCCCTGGACCCTGGGATCATGCCCTGAGCCTAAGGCAGACACTCAACTGCTGAGCCACTCAGGTGTCCCTATAATCACATTTTTAGATTCAAGGAGCACTTACTTCATCTATAATCTTTTTTCATAGCATCTCATTGTTATTTTACAGATGTATCATGCTTTCTACTTTTTCCATGGTATACATTAGAATTTTTAAGGATTTTTTCTGTTGTTGTTGTTCCTGAACTACCTATTTTCTTCAGGGTACTGTCATCTCTGTGTCTGTTTCTTTTTATGACTTTTTCTGGACCTTCCTCATTCATATTGCTGGCTCTCCTCGAATGTTTAGAGATGCTTAGTATCTGTTTATAAATAGGAAATAGTAAAATGGCCGAGTGCTCTCTGAACATGGGTAGGGTCTTATTTATAGGCAGTTCTATTAATAAAATATAATTAGAAAGCTAGCCATTTTATTGAAGAACACGTAATTGCCATAACTTGTTCTGCAGTATCAATACCAGCACAAGTTCCCGGATCCACTTTGACAATTTCCATAGAGAAGGCCTTTTATTATATTGCAAAGTGATACAATTGCCTATACTCTACACATTGCAGTGGGGGGATTTATCATTTCAATATAATCTTTTTACAAATGTTTTTATTTTTTTGACAAAGAGAGAGCAGGCACAAGTTGGGGAGTGGCAGATAGAGGCAGAGGGAGAAGCAGACTTCCCACTGAGCAGAGATACTGATGTGGGACTTGATCCCTAGGATCATGACCTGAGCCAGAGGCAGACCCTTAACTGACTAAGCCATTCAGGTGGCCCTCAATATAAACAGTAAAATGCCTGTGGTCACACATTTCACTTCCATCCTCCCTCACACCTGAGTTCTGAGCCTTTCAGGGTTTCACAAGGAGTCTAGACCCTTATTTGCCTGTAGTCATCTCTGCATATATTCTAGGTAGTGGCTGCTCCTTCCCTGGTTCATTAGTTACCACTTCATCTTTTTTTTTTTTTTTTTTTTTTTTTTAGATTTTACTTATTTATTCATGAGAGGCACAGAGAAAGAGGCAGAAACACAGGCAGAGAGAGAAGCAAGCTCCCTGCAGGGAGCCTGATGTGGGACTTAATCCCAGGACCCTGGGATCATGACCTGAGCTGAAGGCAGACACTCAGCCACTGAGTCATCTGGTGCCCCACCACTTCTCCATCTATTTTTCAATTTCTAGAACTTTTACAAAATCTCTTTTTTGTAGTTAGATTCTTCTTATATTCTTTTATACTCTTAAAGATGGTTTTCTATAATTTATTGTTTTAAGGACGGTCAGACTGCCCTGTCAAGTCAGAAACTTATGTTTAAAAGTTTTTATATTGTTTACACTTTACTGATTTCATACATCTGATTTATTGCTTTTTATTGGCAGTTTGTAATCAATCATGAACCTGAGTTCAATATACATTATAAGTTGGTTCTAAGGCATAGTCTTTGATGATTTGAATGACCAAACATAACTCTTTCTTTTGCAAACTATGCTTCAAAATGTAAAATGGATATAAAATATTTCTAGGAAGTCCTATGTTAGTGTTAAGAGCCTAGAAAAGACAGTGCTTGCTTTGGCAGCCCGTATACTAAAATTGGAATGATACAGAGAGGATTAGCATGGAGAGTCTCTTAACTACAGAGAACAAATTGAGGGTTGACGGAGGGAGGTGAGTAGGGGATGGGCTAAATGGGTGATGGGTATTAAGGAGGGCATTTGTGTTGAGCACTGGGTGTTATGTGTAGGTGATGAATCACTAAATTCTTTTTTTTTATTTTTTTATTTTTTATTTTTATTTATTTATGATAGTCACAGAGAGAGAAAGAGAGAGAGGCAGAGACACAGGCAGAGGGAGAAGCAGGCTCCATGCACCGGGAGCCCGACGTGGGATTCGATCCTCGGTCTCCAGGACCGCGCCCTGGGCCAAAGGCAGGCGCCAAACCGCTGCGCCACCCAGGGATCCCCTGAATCACTAAATTCTATTCCTGAAACCAATGTTACACTATATGTTAACTAAATAGAATCTAAATAAAAATCTGAAACAAAAAAGAGCCTAGAAAAGACAATCTTGGATTTTTTTATATTTATTTATACCACATTTTTTTAAAGATTTCATTTATTTATTTATTCATGAGAGACACACACAGAGAGAGGCAGAGACACAGGCAGAGAGAAAAGCAGGCTCCACGCCGGGAGCCCGATGTGGGACTCGATCGCAGGACTCCAGGACCACGCCCTGGGTGGAAGGCAGGCACTAAACCGCTGAGTCATCCAGGGATCCCTATACCACATCTTTTCAAAAGCTACTTGAATAAACTAGAAAATCCTATCTGTAGCAAAAGTATACACACCAACAGTTGACATTCCACTAGTAGTTCTAAGTTTGCTTACCAACAAATACAGAATATTAGATCCTTTCTTAAAAGTACCTCAGTCCCAGGGCAGCCTGGGTGGCTCAGTCAGTTAAGCATCTGCCTTCGGATTAGGTCATGATTAGAGTCCTGGGATCCATCCCCACCTTGGGCTCCTCGCTCAGGAGGGAATCTGCTTCTTCATCTCCCTCTGCCCCCACCCCCCCTTGCTTACTCTCTCAAATACATACATAAAATCTTTTTTAAAAAGTACCCTTAAAAAAAAAAGTACCTTCAGTACCATCATTATGGTCACAGCATTGTATTTAATACTGCAAATGATACACATTATTTGGTGTTTTTTTAAAAAAGATTTATTTATTTATTTGTTTATTTATTTATTCATGAGAGACACATAGAGAGGCACAAACACAAGCAGAGGGAGAAGCAGGCTCCATGCAGGGAGCCCAATGCGGGACTCGATCCCAGGACCCGGGGATCACACCCTGACCCAAAGGCAGATGCTCAACTGCTGAGCCACAGAGGCATCCCAATACACATTATTTGACCCTCATTCATCTATTCACCTTATAGATCAGCTCCAAAATTGCTGTGGCCATAATTTTCTCCATTGTATCTCCAGTGCCTAGCACAGCTCTTGCACAATGTGGTTAATTGATAAACATGTGTTGAGTACATGCTGAAGGAACTGTATGTCCAAACAAGGTTCCGAAACTGACAATCAGGTTTGGGGAATTAGATGTAGTAAGATGTATCAGGAATAAGGGTCTGAAGTGTGTGATACATGTCACAGGGGTCACCTGCGCAAGTGCAATACTAGACATTTAGCAGAGGGATGCCCGGGTGGCTCAGCAGTTGAGCATCTGCCTTCTGCTCAGGGCATGATCCCGGGATCCAGGATCGAGTCTTGCATCAGGCTCCTTGAAGGAAGCCTGCTTTTCCTTCTGTCTGCATCTTTGCCTTTCTCTCTCTCTGTGAGTCTCATGAAAATATAAACGAAATCTTTAAAAAACAAAATAAAACAAAAAAACAATATCCAGCAGAGAACAAGGGATGGAATTTTGATAGGTAGAAATGAGAAGGGCCTTTACATGGCATAAAGGGCTTAAGTCAAAATAATATCCAGCTTATAAAGTGTTTGCACTCCTTCAATGTATTTAGCTTAAAAACAAGAGCCTGACTTACAGAATTCAAAAATAAGTTCCATAAGCCCTGAAGGCAAATCAGGTTTCCTTTCTTAGACCAACCCTATAAAGCCACTGAATGGACGTGAAGGCACTATGGCATTGGTATACGAAGCACACTGTTGAGGTGAGGTTAAAGGGTTTCACACCACATGTGCTTGGCTGGGGGCTGAGTTAGAATATAATATTAATGCAAACGTCCCTCACTTACAGCTGCTTGTCTGCTTGATAAAGACCAACATTGGGACACCCGGGTGGCGCAGCGGTTTAGCGCCGCCTTCAGCCCAGGGCCTGATCCTGGAGACCCTGGATCGAGTCCCATGTCGGGCTCCCTGCGTGGAGCCTGCTTCTCCCTCTGCCTGTGTCTCTGCCTCTCTCTGTGTGTCTCTCATGAATAAATAAATAACATCTTAAAAAAAAAAGACCAATATATTTCATTCTTGATTATGTTACCAAGTTCTAGCAATTTCCACTTGCAGTCCTTAGATTTTCTTGATGAGAACACAATGTCTGGATATTTAAATGTTCTGTTTACACGCATCCAGGTGCTCACACTTTAATCAAATAAACCACAAAGTACATCAGGCAAAACTAAATGCATCTGGTTGAAATTCTCCGACAGACACAACCAGGGGCAGAATGACACACACTCACCAGAGTTTTATCTGGGGCCCTTTGAAGCAGAATTGGGAGTCGCCGTCAATTCCAATTGTTCTAATAAGAAAAAGTAGTACCTCAAAAAAGATGAGGGACGCCTAGGTGGCTCAGCGCTTGAGCGTCTGCCTCTGGCTCAGCGTGTGATCCTGGGATCTGGGATCGAGTCTCACGTCAGGCTCCCTCCATGCAGCCTGCTTCTCCCTCTGCCTGTGTCTCTGCCTCTCTCTCTGTGTCTCTTATGAATAAATAAAATCTTAAAAAAAAATCGAGGAAAGGGTGCCTGGGTGGTTCAATCAGTTAAGCAGCTGCCTTCTGCTCAGGTCATGATCTCAAGGTCCTGGGATCAAGCACATCAGGCCCTCTGCTCAGTGGAGTCTGCTTCTCCCTCTGCCCTTCACCCTGCTTCCCCCGCCAAATAAATAAAATCTAAAAAAAAAAAAAAAAAAAAAAAAAAGACAAGGATACACAAGACTACTTGGAGAAAAAATGTAATCGAGTAAATAAAAGGAGGAAACATGATAACAAAACAAATGATAGGGACGCCTGGTTGAGTGTCTACCTTTGGCCCAGGGCGTGATCCTGGAGTCCCAGGATGGAGTCCCACATGGGGCTCCCCGCAGGAAGCCGGCTTCCCCCTCTGCCTATGTCTCTGGGTCTCTCATGAGTAAATAAAATCTTTAAAAAATGAAACAAATGATAAAACAGTAATAGGAGTCAAACAGACTTAAGTTCTTTACATGTATTAGTTCACTTAAAGAGAAAAAGACAAGGAAGCTGGAAGGATACTTTATTTTCCTACAAAGTTCTGATCTTAAAATGACATACAACTTTTCCACTGTTGTCTTTGGGAAGTATGATGAACGAGACTCTCTTCCTTACCAAACCATGGCTCCGAAGTCTTGAATCTCGTCAGAAATCAATTTTGCTTCATATTTTAGGTGACAAAACAGGCATTCACAGAATATTCACTGGAAACTCCACCAAGACAGCCAGATAGGGAGAAATGCTTAGTGCCTTTAAATTTGGGGGTGCTGGGCACTCAAATCATGCATAAAAACTGGAATATCGTGTTGGTTTTAGAGTTTATTTATATGCTATATTCTAACATGCTAAGTTCTCAGGATGCGGCATGTTTTTAAATAGAATCAATGATCAAAAGCACAGTGGTAAAAGCACATGGTGAGATGGGAGTCTTGGAAATGTGGATCTAACCTCATCTCTGGCAAGAATTACCTGGGTGAGGTAACAAAATAGATCAAGATTTTCCAGACACCTAATGTTGCCAGAAACTCACAAACCAGAGACTTGCTGAATGCTACCACCACCTACACCCCACCAATCCCAAACTGGTTACGTCTTTGAACTGATTTTTTGCATTTAGCTTTAAGATTACCTTCTCCTTTAATGAACTGGCTGGGCTCTACAACTCTAGTTCTAAAGAAATGAAATGTGCCACTGTCAGTCATCACATGGAGGAGCCGTGTACTTATTCAGGACACCTCGGGGGTGTAAATCAATTTTATTTATTTATTTATTTATTTATTTATTTATTTATTTTAAAAAAATTTTTTTTGAATTATTTATGATAGTCATACAGAGAGAGAGAGAGAGAGAGAGGCAGAGACAAGGCAGAGACATAGGCAGAGGGAGAAGCAGGCTCCATGCACCGGGAGCCCGACGTGGGATTCGATCCCGGGTCTCCAGGATCGCGCCCTGGGCCAAAGGCAGGCCCTAAACCGCTGCGCCACCCAGGGATCCCTGTAAATCAATTTTAAAAGGCAGAGTTATACACATGATTTGATGGAACCCCATATTACAAGTCAGTGTCTAAACCATGTGGTCATTTTAAATTTCAAAGATTATGTCTCATTTTTCCTATGTTACATAAGCAGGGCTTAACCGGTGCTCTAAAACATGCAAACCAGAGTCCAGCAAAATTATGCAAGCTAATGGCAAAGCAGACAGAAATCTTTAAAACCTGTTTTTACAAAGTTTTGACCTCTCTTAAAAGCACCAACTTTTTTAAACATTAGTCTCTGTCTCAAAGGGACTAAAAGGTCACTTTCTCGCTTGGCAGTGTCTAAGCCACCTTGCCCACACTTAATAAGTGTGGCACTTATTTTGCACTCCTCACATGCCTATGTCCATCCAGACACTAAGTTAAGTGACCAGTAGTCCAGCAGTTTTTTAGACGAATTTTTTAAATTCTGGTAAAGCCAAGTAACAACGACTGCTTTGGGGTTAGCAGCGTTGCCAAAATTACACCCTTGTGGGAGCACTACTTTTGTGGCATGCGGGTCTCCAGAACAGAAGCTCTGCTTCTGTTAGCAATGGAGTATCTCGAGGCAGGAACATTCAGAGACCCCACATGTAAAGCAGCAGCACCTGGAAAGATTATGAGAGCATTTGCAGGCTGTGCATAGTACTAAAAGCGCTGCCGAATCATTCCACTGCTGCTCTAGTCAGTAACAAATTGAAGCACTTTATAAAATTTGTAGCTCTTCAATAATTTTGAATCACTTTAAAGTGCTCATGCTCCAAACCATAAAGTCTTTCTTAACCACTGCAAACATATAAAAGGTACATCACCAAAATGACAGTAATCAACTCCTTCAATTTTAGGTGTGAAATTGTTCTGTTTTTTTTCTCCTTGTTTTTGTTGTTCACCAAGTGCCAAAAAAAAATGGTCATAAAGGATACAATGTGCAAAATCTCCATTTTTCAATGGCACCAAATAATCAAACTCCTAAAATTTTTTCAGATGAAGAA